GCCCGTAGTACGCCACTTGTGTTGGAAGAGTTGGGAAGGATAGTCACCCGAAAATCAACTGGGATGTCTAATGCTGACGGTGGTTTGTACTCCTGAGAGAGAAAGAACAAGGAGAAGAAGAAGAAGAAGAAGAAGAAGAGAAAAGAAGAAGAAGAAGGAGAAGAAGGAGAAGAAGGAGAAGGAGAAGAAAAAATGAAGAGAAAAATGGTACGATTACTTCACCAGTCAAAATCTATTAAATAAATGATGATGTTTACATGCTCAAGGCTAGGTTATGAAGGTCAAAATTAGAGATATAATCTCTCTTACTAAATTTACAGTAACTCTGTATATCATATATTTGTCTACAACCATTTAACTTTTAATCTATGCATTTGTGTATCAATAATCTATCCTTAAAACTACCAGTAAAAGAAAATGCCAAGCCAAAAAACATGCCTTAAAAAAAGACTTCAGTATATATGGACATATTCGTTATTGCACCCTTGTTCATGATATAATCTCGGCATACCACAACCCTTAAAATAAAATGGATTACTTACCCACGTCCCATTGGACAACTTCTCTCCCGTTTCTGAGTTGAACTTAACTTTCTCCAAAGTGCAGAAGCCTAACCCCATGACAAAAGCCCCCTCAATTTGACCAATGTCTACGTAGGGGCTCAGACTTTTGCCGCAGTCTTCTATGAGGTCTACTTGGCGTATCTGAAATGTACAACAGGGAGATTGAAAAACATTCCTGACCTAATAAATGGTCTACGATGTCTAAAAAATATCTTTCATATCCATAATTTGGTACTACTTCTATACAGAATTAAAGACTGTGTTTTATTGACACATGTTAAAGACCATAAAAAACAATACTTTTTCTTTTTTTATGCAGTCATGAATTGGGGGAAATATATAAATGTGTGTGTGTGTGTGTGTATGTGTGTGTGTGTGTGTGTGTGTGTGTGTGTGTGTGTGTGTGTGTGTGTGTGTGTGTGTGTGTGTGTGTGTGTGTGTGTGTGTGTGTGTGTGTGTGTGTGTGTGTGTGTGTGTGTGTGTGTGTGTGTGGTGTGTGTGATGTGTGCATGAGAAGAAGTCATAAGGACAGAACAAAAAGACAAGAAAAATTAAGTGAAGAAGAAAAAAAAAAAAAGATGGGAACACATGCTTACATTGAAGATGAAGAAGAAAAAGAAGATAAAAAAAAAAACTGAAGATGAAGACATTCTCCAACACCTACCATGAACTGTCCCGTGAGAACGTCCACCTCTACCTCCGCACAAACTCCTCCCCAGATGTCATAGGCATTCGGGTACTCACTCATCTTAGTCCTGGAAACAAGAGTTATGTTATCTTTTTTTGCCATAAAAATTATTTACATCACTCTGGATTATGGGTCTTTAAAACTTTTTATAGCACAACATGTACAGTGAAAGAGAACAGTTCTAAAGATGGAAAAGGGGGGAAGGGGAGGGAGAGGAGAGGAAGGAGGAGAGGGAGGAGGAGGGAAAGGGAGAGGGAGGAAGAGAGGGAAGGGAGAGGGAGAGGAGAGGGAAGGGAGAGAGAGAGGAGAGGGAGGAGGAGAGAGAAGGGAGAGAGAGAGGAGAGGGAGGAAGGGGGGATGGAAGGGAGAGAGAGAGAGAGGAGGAGAGGAAGGAGAGAGGTAGCTAGGAAGGGGACAAGGGTAAGAGAAGAGAGGGAGGGAGGGAGAAAGGGAGGATAAAGGGGAAAAAGGAGGGAGTGAGCAATTGAGACAGAGAGAAAGAGAGAAAGAGACAGAGAGATACGAACAAGTGACTCAAAATCTCACCAAATTCTCTCACTGAGATCAACATCAGAGCTCTTACATATCTTGACAAGCTCAGCCCAACTGACATCTCCTTTGCCTTCCTTACTGAGCTTCTCTCTTGTGGAATCCAGCCGTGCTCGGAGGTTTTCGCATGCTTTCTTGACACCCTGTGCATAAATACATCTAAGTGGATGTTTTGCTTCCAATGAGTAATTTGAGCTTGGATAGACAAAAAAATATGTGGAAGAGCCTCATGCTTAACATGTATTAATGAATATGAAACTAAAAACAAGAATAATTGTAATACTACCGATAAATATATAAAATGAAATATCTAAAAAGTGCAACATAAATAATAACAATAATACTAAAACATTCAACACAGTCCTTGATGATGAATAAAGAATATAAAAACATATCACCAAAAAATAAATATCCGATACAAGGAACACATTTCTCAGTACATCTATTCATTAAAGTATTAATAATACAAAAAAAAACAAAAAAACATATCAAACCTAAAAAATAATTTTAAAAAGTCATCAGTCATAAAACTCACCAGAAGCACAATGTCCGAGCAAACAGTGGCACCCTGGTGGGTCGAATTGGCATTGGTGGTTGTGCTTGTTGCCTTGACCTTTATCTTGGCCACTGGCACTCCAAGAATGTGTGACGCTACCTGCACAGCCTAGTAGAAAACATTTGGTATGACATATTAACTTAATGTATCAATTAATTTATTGTGGTCATCATAACCTTTGTCATTTTGGATAGAGCTTGATTTCCTTTCATATTTTTCATTTTGACTACTTTTTCTTTTCTTCTTTCATAGATATACAGAATAAGTATATGAAATCAGTAAAGAAATATCATTAAAGAATATCATTTCAAAATATAAATACAAAATATGTATATCCAGTCAATCTAAAAACCTGCCTTTGTATTCAATCCCTGTCCCATTTCAATGCCTCCATGTGCAATGGACACTGTTCCATCATGGCTGTAGATGTTAACCAACACCCCAAAACGGAAGTCGGGATAACCAAGGTTGAAACACATGGGCATGATCGCTATTCCCCTCTTGCGCCATCTGTTAGTCTGAAGGGATAAAGTGAACAATGCACACATTAAAAAATTGACATAAGGAAAAAAAAAATCATTCTTCTAATTTCCACAGGGCAATACAGAACTTTAAAGGACATTTTTTAAAGGATAATAATTATTCTATCTCTTCCTGTATCAGTTGAAATCCAGAGATATAACAGAAGAAAATTATCATAGGATACCACAATCAAAATTTCTCAAGAAAATTACAGAACAGGCATAAATGGAATAAAATCACTTCTCAAAGCAGGAGATATAAATCACACATGTTGATGTTACTTCTTAAAATGAATTAAATTTAGTTCTGAATACCACCCTTCATTCACAATTTCCTATCACACAATTTCCATCATACACTGCCAACTCTAAATAACTGAAGATAAACTCTCCCATAACTGGCTCATTATTTTCTGCCTCATTCTCATTTCACACATTCCAAAAATGCCAATTTAATATAAATGTACCTAATACACAATCACAATATCAGGCTTAAGCTATAAACCATATCCTTTTTACAGTCTATTAAACTGGAATAGTCTAATAACAAAATAAAGGCACACATTTCACACAGTAAGATTTCTCAGCTACAACATATAAACACCCTTCATTTTCCTTTATTAATGACTCCCAAGAAAAGGCATACCACCTACAAAGAGCTATTAACAAGCAAACGCCTACAACTCACCTGATTATAAGCATTCACCTCCTCCAGCCTTAATTCATACTCTGAGCTCTCCTTCAGTAACGGAAGGATGTCCTCCTGAAACACGTTTTTCACAATCGGATCAGCTGATGGTCGCTCAGCCCCAGCAGGAGCTAAGTTGACCTCCCTCACCTCCAGGGGGTCTCGTCCAAGGTAATGGGCAATGTGGTCCATTATACTTTCTATTGTCACTATCCCTTGGAAAATACCTGGAAAGCACAGTGCAAAGATAAGTATCATTACATCTAATATTGCTTTCTATTCCTGCCAAAAGAGCATTCATTTACATATAATTAATAACAAAGGGGCTATCATCTTACCAAAATTGAGCTATTTAATCATACATTATATCAAGAATGCCTTTTCATTAACACCTTAACACCTTAATCTACCCTAGAACTGATAAATGAAAATTACACTTTTGCTGCACCTCAAACACTATCAGCAATCACAAGTTCTTATATCTGAATTTCAATTCACTTTAACAGGAACCCACACAAGATTTACCCACACTACTTCCTTAGTACCTTAGTTTACTTCCCTTCTAAAATCAAATTCTCCTAACCTGGTGACCTCATAAATGTGTTTGAGGGCGTGTTGGTTGTTACGACGGAGGGTTTGAGAAGCCAGTTCGGACAGTAATAGACATTGCTAGCATAAGCAGCACCAAGACCAGCAGAAGCTTCGTTGGCAGAACAACCAGAATCAGATACAATGTCCAGGTCAACGGACACTAGTTTGCCGAAGTCATCAAAGCCAACCTATAATATACATACAAATAATGTACTTTCTTGCAAAGCCTTGGAAACAGTAATTAACAAATGCAATCTTTATTATTCATCAGTATATGAAATAAATTCACAAACACAGAGCATGTGCAGATATTCAAAGAAATAAAACATTCTTCATATATCTCATAATCTTTGATCTATTGAAACATATACTCATTTCTTAACTGAGCACTTCCATCCCAGTTTTGCATTCATGGATAAGGCCATCAAATGAAGTTGAAATAAGGAAACAAGCAAGGCAAAAAAGCTGATAAAAACGTGGTGATATTGATAATATACATAAGCAATAATTGCAATTTTATAGAGAAAAATAATGATAGCTAAAAAAACAAAAAATATATACATATAATGAAAGCAACAATAATACTGCAATGAAAATATTGATAACAAAAAGAATAATGATAAAAAAAACAAAAACATTATCAAAAAATTAAAAACAAAAAGAAAATAACATCAACAGTAATAATGATAATAATAATGATAATAATAATAATAATAAAATCACATATCAATAAGCAAAATCAATACAAAAATAACATCAACCAAAGCAAATGATCAATCCAAACATACTTTATACTTGGAGTAAAAGGGATCTCGTCCGCCAATGAGAGTGATGAACATCTTGAGATTGAGCGCAACCCGAACAGGACGATGCGTTTTCCAGGCCCCAACTGCAGCTGCTGTGCTGACCATGTGGGCTCGGCTGATCTTCCCCCCGAACGAACCTCCAACGCGCCTCACCGATGTATTGATGCTGGAGGGATGAGGAGGGGATATAAGTCACTGGTTTATCAAATGCATATCCCTTTTGAGAAATGGAAATGTTGAGTGGTTTGTCAATATTCATATAGTGTCCTTCCTCACCTATTATCATTTTCAATATTCATATGAAGCTGTTCCTTACCTATTACCATTATCAATATTCATATGAAGCCCTTCCTTACCTATTACCATTTTCAATATTCATGTTCCTTACCTATTACCATTATCAATATTCATATGAAGCCCTTCCTTACCTATTACCATTTTCAATATTCATGTTCCTTACCTATTAGCATCAATACCAAGGACCTGTGCAATTGAGGACTGCACTTCAGCTGGCCAAATGGATGTAACGATGACATCATATCCATCTTCTATGGGTGTTACACGAGCAGCCAAGGGTTCAAGTGGGAAGTGGAACTGGAAACCCATGTCGAATTCTCCCTCGATGACATGCGATGCTGCTTTGAATCCAGCTGCAATAGGCAGGCAATCACTTATAAAATATTATAAATTCATCAATAATAAGGACTACCCCACAAAAAAAAAAAAAAAAAAAAATCATAAGGATCACTTGCTGTGTCTGTTTCAATCCAACAACAATAGTGACAGCAATTGTGTTAATCTTTGTTAATAATGACAATCAACCCCTCCTTCTTTATGCTGGCAACATTGTAATTAATCCCTGTAAAAACATCCAATGCACTCCTATTTTTTCATGGCACCACTCTTCAAAATCTTCAAAATCTAACTACAAGATGGAGGTAAGCAAGAACTGGTGCCATCTTTACCAATAACACCAAGTAATATAAACAAGCCAAAACCAAAACACATTCACAGATATGTAAATTCAAAGAGCAAAATGGGGATTGATATATAAATCACAATATAATAACATATAAATATAACGCTCCTCAGAGTCCAATATGATGATTTCATACCTTCAACATCACCCACTATCACGGGCTCCCTCTTCCCAGTGATGAGATTGTAGTCTGGTTGTACATTCCCGTTATCCAATGCATCCTTAATTGTCAAGATGGGCTTCTGTACATTTGCATACTCAACCTTAACCATCTTTGAAGCTTGACTTGCGACATCATAGCTCTCGGCAATGACTAAACCAATGCCCTGTCCTGCATACAAGACCTTGCCACTTGCAAAAACCTGATGAGAGTATAGGGAAGCATCATGTAAATTGATGACTCTGATTAGGTTCAAGATATAATTCATATGCAACTATATACTTATATATGTATGTATGTGTATATAAAATGACCAGTTTTTATCCATCTATCCACTTATCTAAACATCAAAATATATCATCAAAAGAAAATTAAGCAAAGCAAAAAAACTCACTTCCTCTGCCTCTGTACCAGCTTCTGCAGTAAAGTCATTAATACCTGGTATGTCTTCAGCTGTAATTACTGCCACCACTCCAGGCAAGCTCTGTAAAAGACCCATTACTGCACACTGAACAAGTTTGCATTTTTTAAAGCATAATGAACCATCAACAACCTTTACTTTTGGTCCTACATCCTGTCTTAAAATTTTAAACATACATAAAAAGATTCAAGTAATTAAATCAAATAAGAAATAAAATGCAATCTTAATCAACTTACAAGTGCCTCAGATGTATCAATGGACACGATATCAGCTGAACCAACAGATGACTGAATAAAAACACCATGAAGTTCATGAGGCTGCGTAGGCTCATCATTAGCAAAGGTAGCCTCTCCTGGAAAAAAATAAACATATATTAGTCTAAGACATATTACCGCTACTAACTCCTTGTTCCTAGGTTCATGCTGGTGAAATTTTTCATTTATACAAGGCTGTAACTGGGACAAGTAATCTATTGATGAGATCTATGAATATGTACTAATAAACACCATTACTGTTTTTATTTAAGGACAATTTCTAAAACAATCTATTCCTTAAAATAAAATTGTTGATCCACCAAACAAATCATCTTAATTTTTAACACATAATAAAAGAAAAAGATAGTCTAAAGAAAAGACAAAACTAAGTACAAAGCACAAACCTGCCACTTGTGTTATGGCTTCAACTTTGGGGATTGGCTTCCCGACGGGCCACAGCTCTGGGTTCTCATCGAAAGTCTGCTTTGAGGATGAGACAGGCCGCTCAATCAGAGTAGCCGCACTCAGATTCTGCGCTGATGCTTCGATTCCCAAAATGCTTATGACAGCCTGTAAGCATATATTTAAAAGAAAAGACAATCAAAAATGTTATCAGTTGATTAGGGAAAAAAGAGTATGTTTCATCTCCTTTGGCTACCTAAGACAGGATCTGCATCTTTTCTATAACATGCAAATCTAAAACTATGATAGCAAAACAGGTAATAAGTGTCAGTTTTTAGTTTCTCTTCGAAGACATAAGACTATTATTTCACAAAAAAATGTAAATTCCATTACATTCTATGCAGGACAGCATGCACACGCCACACACGCACACACGCACCACGCACACGCACGCACACACACACACACACACACACACACACACACACACACACATACACACACACACACACACACACACACACACACACACACACACACACACACACACACACACACACACACACACACACACACACACACACACACACACACACACACACACACACACACACACACACACACACACACACACACACACACACACATATACAAACCTTATAGAGCAAACTCTGTGTTAGTGACAGCCTATATGCTGGTGATGAGTCCTGAGGTAAGGCATCTGGGAGAACCTCCGTGGCTAGGATCTCTGCAGCTTCTGTCAGCAAGCCTTGTTCTGTAAGCCGACGTCCAGTGAGAAAGTCCTCGGTATTGGCTGCGTGAATCTGCATTGACAAACAGAATAATCCCAATTTCATTAGAAAAATAAAAAAAAATCCTCTATTAATCATTGTCGATTGATAAGTTTTGGCTTCATAAATCTTCCATAACAAAAACATTTAAACATTCAATGGGGCTAATGCCATGGAAGTGAACTGCCACTACTGATATCAGCTCCTGAGCCATGGGAGCAACAGACATCTCAGTTAATTTGACTACACCGAGACACCACAATGAAGTTAACCACGACAACCAGCTACCAGGAAAGCAATTTTGCTGTAGAAGATCTCTCTCACAACAGGTCTATATACATCAGGAAGATAAAAATAACAATAAAATAATATCAATAATTTATAATTATTACGCTTAAAATAGCAATAATTATAATCTTGTTCATAATTATAGTAATACTCACAATCATAACAATAACAATGATAATAACATTAACAATAAAGAAACAAAAACAGTGGCAGTAGGTCAGTGGCAATAAAAAAACATAATAATAACAATAACAATACCAGTAATAAAAAATAACAATAATCATGATGATGATAGTAATAATAATAATAACAACTACATTACACAGATTACAAAGTTTCCCTTTTGTGTGAGGTGTAAAGCAATAAAAAAAAGTTAACAGGAAATATATAAACAATATCCAAAATGACTTACAAAATTTGGATTGATTCCACCATAGAGTAGAAAAGGCTTCGACTTGACTAAAAATCCATCATTCTCATCAACTTGGAACCGAAAAGCTGCATTTACGTAGGCATGCGCATTGACGGCACGTGGGGTGATTTTGAAGCTTCTAATCTGAAAGGGGAGAAAAATATATACGAGACAAGATTTTGGAAGAGAAATATATGACACAATATTTAGGTAACTGTAATTTTGGAAAGATCTTTATGTATCTCTCATTCTAGTGTTCTTTTTCTCTCTCTCTCCTAAATCTGTAAAATCAGTTAGGTAAAGGATAAAAAAATATATATATATCCATTAAAACAAAGTACAAGATATAATTCTTAATAAACTAAAAATGACTCAGCCTTTTCAAAAGTGTCTTAGAAGGGCATTTTTTCCTATTTTTTAAACCTCATACATATAATACAAAAAAAAAAAAAAAAAAAAAAAAAAATCCCTTAAAAAAAAGAAACTGACCTGGATGTCGGCAGCCAAAGATGGCAATTTCACAGCTGTAACGACCTTCTTCTGCATGTCCGTCAGCAAGAAATCCTCCAGTGAGACGTAAGCAACAGATGCATCTTGAGAGCTCCCTATAGCAAGCTGTGCATCGGCCGCAAGAAGTGTCAGGAATATATCTGAGGGGAATTCTTGATGGGTGTGTTTCATCATCAGGTTTCCGGCAATTGTGCCAACCTGTTGAGTAGAATGCATCAGTTTGTATATTCTCCTTATCTAAATAATTTCACTACTTTATCACAGTTTATTATTTCATGATCATCTGCACTTGTATTCATATAGACATATATATAAAAAAAATATTCAATATCTATTACTGTTTATCTAAATATCTCTTTCACTCCTCTGTTTTCTATTAATTTTCCCTATATTCAAATAATTCTTTTATTCAAAATCTAAGATGAAAAATTTGAATTTACGAACACCAACATCGTTAAAAAACACCTCAAGAGCCACAAACTCACATTTCTCACTGCAACATTAGCCACAACCCCCCAGTGTTTAGCGAGCTCCTTTAGGTGTTGGAATCCTGGGTTTCCTGCCGCTTCCTCAAAGACCTCGATTGCTCTCTTCAAGCTCACATTAGCCCCTAGGGTAATTTCTCCAGTGTTCTCTTCTACTGTATACAATTCTGGTACATTGCTTGTGCTAATGTATACATCGAAAGGGCCGTCGTTTTTGTACACACCTAGAATTGTAGCATGGAATTAAAACTGGGCATATGAAAGTGCATAAAAATGAGAGAAAATAGAAGAAAGAAAAGATGAAAATGATAATGATTATGATAATATATGAATACCAAAGGTAGGTTCTTGTTATATGAATATATGAATTAATAGATAGATAGATAGATATATACACATAGATAGATAGATAGATAGATAGATAGATAAATTAGTAGACAGGTAGATAAATAATGATGAAGAGATAGGTAGATACACAGAGAGGTAAATATACATCTACAAAAATAAATATGCTAGCATGAAAATCTATCACTCTGTAGTATAGCTCACCTTGTCCTGTATTACCACCAACAATACGCACTTTTTCCCCCTCAGTTAGCTGGTCCAAGATGCTGTACAGGCTCTGAAAAGATTAATTTATAAAAAAGATACAAATAAATAAAAAAAGAACAGATAAGCCCTATAATCTATAGCAACACTACAAAAGAGGTTCCATAGCACAATCTTCTCTTTTTCTTTTCCTCTAGACAGCGTTACATGCAAACGCTTAAATTTCTCATCCCCAAGATGCCAGTCAAACAAGTAGCATTGGGTGTAACTGACAACAGTACTTTGTCACTTATTCCTTTACATCGATGAATAATCATTTCAAAACTAAGAGCATACAAAAATCACTAACATACCTTCGTAACAAAACTACAAGGAACTTACCGAAAGACTCGTTGGATAAAACCATTTAACTCCTTGCACTGTGATCTCCCTCTGTTTGGCAGGAACAGCAGCAGTCTTTTTCGAGCTGCAACTTCCCGTGCAACATTTGCCGGTCTTTGGGCACTTGGTCTTAAATGCATCCTGTTGTATTTTTTAACATATGGGGAATATTGTTAATTGTAATGGTAAGTCGTCATGGAATTCTTAATTCACTTATTTGAACAAGTAATTTTGAACTTTGGGTAAGTTGTTTTTGTATAAGAAAAAGGATATAATCATAATGTAATCCAGAAAAGAAAGATCTTTATAAAATATGACTGGAAAATATGCAAAAAAAAAAATAATAATAATAATAATAAAGTATCACCTCATTCTTATAAAACACACGCACATCTATGCACATACAAGCACGCACGCACCACACGCACACACACACACACACACACACACACACACACACACACACACACAACACACACACACACACACACACACACACAACACACAACACACACACACACACTCATATGCTCCCTCACACTCTCATACACTCACTCACTCACTCACACACTCTTTCTCTCTCTATCACTAATTCTTACACTCTCTTAAAACAAGAGCTACATACACAATATATCAACTTAATTCTCTGCATACACTATCTAATAATTAGTTGTTTTTCTCTGCCTCCAACTTACCTCAATGTCAACCAGCTTGTTTTTGAGTGCTTGATCTCCATCATCCGCCAATGCCTTGAAAGCCTCAAGAATTGGACGGTACCCAGTACATCTACAGAGATTTCCATCTAGGGATTTCTCCACCTGAGATGCAGTCAAAGTTGCTGATGATTTTTGCTGACTGGAATATAAAAGATAATAAAAATAATGTATACGGGTGGTAAAATTAACAATCTCTAGACAGACTTTAGAAATTTGAGTCTTATCAATTCAGGCTAAAAATATGCACCACATGAATGATATAATTCTCCTGACTACACGGAAAAAAAACATTTATGGGTTATTTTTACTTAAATAAGACACATATGAGTGGAGAAGCCTGTGAAGCAAAAGACAGCAATACAATTAAAAAAAAAAAATCCATAGTTGGTAATACAGTAAAATCTCTTCCAACTTACCCATACATTGTCATGACCATTCCCGGAGAACAATAACCACACTGGGTCCCATAGAATCCCGCCAAAGACTGCTGTATAGGGTGGTAACCATTGTAACGGTCACCAAGGTGTTCCACTGTCTCTACGCTCCAGCCGTTACATGCATACACAAGCTGCTGGCACTGGAAAAAGAGAAGGACGGCACTTGAAAAATATAAATAAGGAAGAACTCATGATTTTCTTTAAGATAAGAAGAATGCAAATAACACTAATATGAAGATGAAGAAAAAGAAGGAGAGGAAGAGGAGATATGATGTAATCAGAAGGAGAGAAACGAAGACAAGATGAAATTTTATTGTTTTTCCCGATTAGCACCGGCTATATGCACGGTCCACTCTGGTTTTCCTTTGTTTGTACATGAATGGCTTCACAAGCACTTGGTCAACAAGGAGTCAATTACCAGACCTACCTGATTTCACTATCTCTTTACTGAATTCTGTTAATTTTCTTTGATTTGTTTTACTAATACTATGATCATTTCATTATATCATTATCCTCATCCTTAGCTTTAACATGACCATTATCATTTTTACTATTGTTATCATTATCATCACTATTATTATTACTATTATCATCATTATTACTATTATTATTATTATTATTATTATTACTATTGTCATAATTATTATCATTAGTGAAGTTATCATCACCATCATTTTTATTACAATTATCATTATCATTATCATCAGTACCATCATCAGTATTATTACTATCATTATCATTTCCATTACAACA